AGAGAGAGAGAGAGAGAGAGAGAGAGAGAGAGAGAGAGAGAGAGAGAGAGAGAGAGAGAGAGAGAGAGAGAGAGAGAGAGAGATGTACTGCAGTCATATCTCTTTTGAGTGTTCTCTTGCCTCTCTCTCTCTTGCCCACCCGCAACTAACATGTTTGGTTAACATGTTTGCCTCTCTGCCTCTTGGACCGTCATGACAGGAACATGTATTCTCATGCGGATTGTCAACTCGCTCTCTCCCACCGTAATGGCAGGAAGAGAGGGAAGGAAAATTCTCTGCAGCATTAACGATCATTACAGCTTTAGTCCCGCGCACTGTCATCGTCGTAGGCTTCTCTTTTCCGTCCCATTCTCACTCCTTGCTCTCTCCCCCACCGTAATGGCAGGAAGAGAGGGCAGGAAAAATATGGAGTATTTTCTCTGCCTCTTCCTCCCCCTTCTTGCAACCTCATTTCCATGAGAACTTGGTTTTCCCAAAGTCGGTCCCAAGGCAGATCACCTCTGTTGATGACCTTCTGCTCATTATCAGAGGAGTCCCTATTGTCCTTCCCCAAATACGGTCATTATCGCTGCTGCATCTAGACTGAAAGTTGCCCCAAATGCAGGCATTGAGACCTAGCTGCACTCCTTGTTGTCTGCGGAGTAGCCTCTTGTTATCGCCTGAGCTTCTCCTTAGTTGTTCCCTAACCATCCACAGAGAGAAGTCAAAGACTTGGAAACCGTCTACAGAGAGATGTCATAGTAACGCTTATATGAGAATGCATACTTGAATAAGAGAGGTTAAAGAGTAAAATAGGGCTAAAGCCTCAAAACGAATTTTAATGGAGGTGTTGTCTTTTTTTTTTTTTGTGTTTACAGACCATGTTTTTGGGCCTGAGTGTCCTTCCCAGAAGGTGTACAATGATGCAGCAAGAGACGTCGTTTTGTCATCTCTCAGCGGCATAAATGGTGAGATTGGATTCTATGCAGCACACCTCACCCAATCTTTTTAATCACCGCTGCCCCCCCCCTCCTCCCCCTCCCCCTCCCCCTCCTCTGTTACCGAATTATGCTCTTTAATACCTTTTTTTTTTTTCTTCAGAAAACAGCACTCCCAATACTTCTCCCTTCTCTCGTGTTTCCTTTTCCTGTGTTTTTTTTTCCCCCTTACCGCTATCGATTGTTTTCTTTTTATTATTGATTTAGTTGGTTCATTTCAATAAATCTCGTTGCATCTAATGTTTTATACAAATCGATCCGAGTTTTTGTTTGAATCGTTGATTTCAGAAAAAGCCATTCCTCACATCCGTTACCGCATCATCACGCATCATCACAGTTTTTTTTTTTTTTTGTTCAGGAGTTTTTGTTTTAATCGTTGATTTCAGAAAAAAGGACCCCCTTTTTATTCTGGTGAGGCACCAGTCCGGTTGCTTGTCATTGCCGCACATAATTTATGAGCAACGGAATGCAATACGGAATGCAATACGAGGCTTGTCAGACTGATGTCGAGGGTGCAATAAAAGTGGAAGAGGGTGAATTACTTAATTAGCATATGTCACGCAACGCAGAGAAAGCATCCAGATAAATTCTGTCCAGAGGAAAGCAAATCATCGTACGGACGCATAAACATATCAGCAACGCCAATACCTTTCTCATCGTACGGCCTCTTGGGTAAGATCAAGTGCAGCGTATCTGTTCTGATCAGTTCAATATCTGATCCATGGTCTATCGGACCACCGGAAAAAAAAAAAAAAAGATATCATGGGAAGAGTCCCCAAGATATCCCCTGCTCGAGTCCCCAAGATGAGTCGAGGATATAAAATGACACGTTAAGGAGATCGAAAGCGATAACAGGGAGTCCAACGATCTCGACGTGTCATCCCTCTCCTAGTTGCTTCGCTCTGCAAATGGAAGGTGAGAGTTGTTGTTGCTGTGTGTGTGTGTGTGTTTGTGTGCGAGAGAGACATGGGGGAGGAGAAGAGAGAGAGAGAGAGAGAGAGAGAGAGAGAGAGAGAGAGAGAGAGAGAGAGAGAGAGAGAGAGAGAG